TAAAGTATTTTATTACTTTCAATATTTATTAAAAATGGTAGCACATGCTTTTAATCCCAGTACTCAAGAGGCAGAAGCTGTGAGATCAAGGCCAGCCTGGTCTGCATAGTGAGTTCCAGGTCAGCTGAGGCTGCAGGGAGACTCTGTCTCATAACCTCTAAGGGATGCTATTTCTCTCTATATCACCAGCACTTGGACCTCTAAGTCATTCTTGGCTATAAGTCCAAGGCCCTCCTGGGCTACAGGAGACCCTGCCTTAGAAAAAGCAACAAATCCCTAAAATATATTTAAATCCTGCCAGGATGGTCACACAATGAGAAAAGTAATGTAGAAAATTGATACCCAGAGGCCATTTCTCTGTCAAACCTGACCATGGGTTTAATAGACCTTTGGAATTGGTTTGTATGAAGAATATGAAAGAGCTTAGAACTATGAAGTTCAAAAAAATTTTTAAGCTGCCTGAGATAGGGAAAAATAAGAAAGAGAAGAACAAAACCAGAATACTAGAAAACAAATAGCAGTGTAGTGTTGGCAAATGGGCAAGATGCCTCAATTAAAATGCATAGCTTTGCCAGGTGTGATGACTCATGCCTTTGATCCCAACAGTTGAGGGGCAGGAGCAGGTGGATGTCTATGAGTTCCAGCAGAGCTACACAGTGAAACCTTGTCTCCAAAAAAAAGTAAAAATTTTTTAAATGCATAGGTTTCCAGAGGACTTAAAAAAGGTCATAGCCTAGAATATGGTTTGGCATTAAAAGGGAGTGAACTATCTTTATGCATAGCAACACAGGCAACCCTTATAAAAATTCTATGAAGAGGTGCTTTATCTATAACTGACACACCCACTGCTCTCTTTGTAGTGTACTAAATAATCTTCTTTCTAAAAACAAAGAAAGAAAGAATGGAGGAAGGGAAGGAAGGAAGGAGGGAAGGAGGGAGGGAGGGAGGGAAGGAAGGAAGGAAGGAAGGAAGGAAGGAAGGAAGGAAGGAAACCAACAAAAGAAAGAAAGGACTTTAAGCTAAATGAAAAGGTCAAGCTGGTTGTGGTGGTTGATGACTATACGTCTCAATTCTTTTTTTTTTAAACTTAAAAAAATTTATTTATTATTTTTATTTTACGTATATGCATGTATTGTCTGCATGTAGGTAAGTGCACCTGTGTCATGCAATGCCCTCGGAGGTCAGAAGAGGCTGTCAGATCCCAGGACTGGACTTACTGACAGTTGTTAGCTGCCATGTGGGTGCTGGGATTCAAACCTGGGTCTTCTGCAAGAACAGCCAGTGTTCTTAAGCACTGAGCCATCTCTCCAGCCCTCTCAATTCTTGAGAGGCTGAGGTGGAGAACTTGTCAGGAATTTGAGGACAGCTCTGGGATAGGGCCTCATTCTGTAGTCCAGACTGGCCACAAACTCATGATTCTCCTGTCTGAGTCCTGAGAATTAAGGGTATGTACCACAGCACAGGTTGACTTCGCTTGTTGTTTATGTTTTATTAGCATATATGAATTACAGATAATAATGGGTTTTAACATGACATTTTCATATATGTACATAGAGTATTTCTATCATATTTACACACTGCTGTTACCCTCTCTTGTTTCCTTCCCACCCTTGTTTTTGAGACAGTGTCTCACATTGTAGTTGGCCTCGAACTCCTGGCAAATCCTTCTACCCAAACAATATCAACCTGTACATCAAGTTACACTCTGTTAACCCAAAATTCAGAAAGGAGGATCATGAATTCAACACAAAACTGTTTAAGGGAAAAAAAAAGTAGGTAGGAAGGGTCAAAGTCAAAGATCATATATTACGTTATCTCATGCATATAATTCGAAGCATCAGTGTTGAGAACACAGCTGGGGACATGGCTCGGTGGGTAAAGCACTTGTTGTAGAAGTGTGAGCACCTACATTGGGATCCCAGAACCCACATAAAGCCAGGCACGGTAGCACAAGTCGGCCATCCCAGTTCCCGTACAGCGAGGTGGGAGGCAGGCAGCAGAAAATCCCCAGAAGTTCCAGGGTCAGTTAGTCTGGCATATGCAGAGATAAACAGATCCCGTCTCAAACAGGTAGAAGGTGAGGAACAACACCCAAGGTTGTTCTCTTCCACACATGTACTGTGGCATGTGTGTATCCACATTCACACACACACACACACACACACACACACAGTGTCACACACACAAGTTGAGAACAGCTTAGTAGGTACTATGGGTAGGGATTTCCTGGGAAGAAAGATATGGCTACTGAAAATAGCATCAGAGAGCTGGAGATGATGGTACAGTTGTGCGGCTTGATTGTGATGATGGTTATACAAAGGAGACAGCTATGTCTAGATATCAAGTTACCTCCAAAGGACAGAATGTAAAAGACTGGGTCCCCAGGGTAGTGCTATTGGGATGTGGTGAAACTTGAAAAGGGGACACTGTTAAGAGGTCTCCGTCATTGGGATGTGTCATTGAAGGAACCTGGACTGCTCTCTGCTCTTCTTAGCATGAGGTTGAGTTCCTTTGCTTCCTGTGTGCTTCTACAGGATGTGCTGTTTGCCACAGGCCCCAGTTTGGTGGAACCCACTAGCCAGGGAATGTGACCTCCAAAACTGTGAGCCCAAATAAATCTTTCTCTTTATAAGTTGTTTTTGTTGTTGTTTTGACAGGTTCTCAAACAAATCCTTTTCATCTTTAGCAAACAGTTTAAATATAAAACCTTCTTATAAACTCATGATAGCTAAGGCAGGGTTTGGTGGGGTTTTTTTGTTGTTGTTGTTTTCTTTCCTTTTTCAAATCTCAGGGGGCCAGCAAGATGGCTCAGTGGGTAAAGGCATGTGCCACTGAGCCTGACATCCTGAGTTTGATCCCTGGGTCCCACATAATCCAGAGAACCAACTTCCAAAAGTTGTCCCCTGACCTTCACACATATGCCATGGCACATGTGTCCCCCACCTGCAATAAGTAAATCAATGTAATAAAAATCATTTAAATTTTTTCAGGCTATAAGTAATAGGACTAACAATCAACCTTTTTTTGTGCTGGGGCTCTGTACTAGTTACTTTCCTGATGCTGTAATAAAACACTGTGATCAAGGGAATTTATAGAAAGAAGTGTTTATTTGAGCTAATGGTTCCAGGTTCCAGAGGCATTAGAGTCCATTATGGCAGGTAGGCATGGTGAGGTGACCAGAGTAGGAGCAGAAAGCTAAGCATTCACATCTTCAAGCAGGTACAGGAAGCAGAGAGCAACTGGAAATCCAGCAAGGCTTAAGAACTGTCTAAACCCACCCCAGTGACATACTTCCTCTAACAAGACCATACCTTCTATGACTTCCCCCAAACAGTACCACCAACTGGGGACAAAATGTCCAAATACTTGGAGCCTATGGGGGCGGTCATTCTCATTCAAACTACCACATTCCACTTCCTGGCCCCCATATGCTCATGACCACATAAAATACAAAATGCAATTAGTCTGCCTTCAAAAGTCTCCATAGTCTTTACCAGTCTCAATACTATTCAGTTGATGACCAAGATTATTCATCACAGGCTCCATTCCAGGGTTTCACACACACTAGGCTCAACTACTGAGCTATAACCTCAGGCCTGGATATCTTCTTAAATCTAACATTATCACTGATGGTTGTAAAAATAAGTAAACCAACTCCATCTCCAAAAATGCACTTCAACCAGAGTCTCAGGAATAGAACCTTTTCTAGGCTTCTGCAGAAAGCACAGGTACCAAGCTTGGTGTGGTAGGGCATATCTGTGATCCTAGCACTCAGGAATTGGAGGCAGTAGGATCCGAAGTTTAGTGTCATCCTCGGCTACATAGCAAGTTTGGGGCCAACCTTGAGATCTTGGTCCAATCAATCAGTTAGTGAATCCACCAACCAGGACAACAAAATAAGAAAGGGCAGTATGGTCCTTACCACATCCAATACAGCATGCACACACAGGTCCAGGTAGATAGTGGTGGCTTCTGCCCAGTTGTGAACTGGTCTCACTTCCTTGTGATAGTACTGCAGTAACTGCTTGGTGAGACGATGCAGAGAAGAATTCCTAGGATGAGGTGTAGCTGTGGTTAGGAATCCTAGAAAAGAAAGCAATCTCTATGAAGATAAAGACAAGAAGCATCTTTAGGAGACTGAAGACTGTCTGGGACCCCGTGGCTCCTGGTAAGATACAGTATTCAGCTGACCCTAGTCTGTGTAAATTCACAGTTAGCTACTGGTCTCTTTGAAGACATTTATTTAAAGTAAGCTGGTGGCCTAAGTGCCCCCACAGAGAAATGGAATCGTAAAGGTACCTAAATCAACATCATCTTCAAGAATTCAAATTGTACCTACGATTCCATTTCGTGGCAGTCATGCCCAGACAGAATCTTTTATTTACCCCTGTGTCATACTCCACTGACATGGTGACAAAACCCACTTTGGCCCAAACATAACCTCCACCTTGATTTGTGCGTATGTGTGGTGTATGTGCACATGTATGCAGGTACATGCACCCATATAGAGAACACTGAATGTCCCATTCTATCAATTTCTTGACTTATTCCCTTGAGACAGAGTCACTCACTGAGCTCCAACAATCCTCCTGTCTCCACCCTGCATAGAACTGACATTACAGGTGTGTAAATTGCCACATCCAGCTTTTTACATAGGCACCGGGGATTCAAACTCAGGTCATGCTTTAATGACAAAGTGCTCTTACCTATGAGCCATCTCCTCAAGCCCATTTTCTTTTTGTGATTTCCCATGTGTAACAGGCAATTCATCGAGCTGGTAGATCTGCATGGATTTCTACATAATGGAATTAAGAAGATTCCAATTCATGCTTTTCTCTTGAAAAAAATCTCTTTTCTCACACTGCCTGTCTTTAAATAAAATGTGCTTGTCAGAAAATGAGATCTTTGTTTGGGGAAAATCCTTCCTGAATCCAGGAAACAACCATTTCTTCTGATCTAGGAATCTTGATTTGTTGGAGGGCCCGTGATTGGTGCTGAGGCAAGAGAGGCCAGGGGAAAGCAAGCAGGAGAAAGGAGCACCGGCAACTGAAAGTGACAGATTTGTGAAGCCTCTCTCCAAACTGCAAAAGATATTTTGTTCACAAGCTTCGCCAGCCCTTGGGGAATTTGAAGCTTTGCTAAGTCATTGGATTGGAGCAAATTGCACACCTCCCAACATGGTGTGGGATGAAAGCTATCTGCGGTGGCCTGTGTGTGGATGTGCCTGGGCTCACAATGGTTTTGATGGTTATTTTGATGAGCTGCTGAAGGTCTGAGAGATCCAGCAGGAAACTGTAAATGAGATCGCTTCTCCCTGTGCGACAATTCTGTTTGTACCCATTTCTTTACGAATGGTGTCATGTCACTTGCCACCACGGGCAGCAATTTCTATGATTTACCAGTGTCAGGGGAGGACCAAAAATGACAATCGTAATGCTGGACGTACCATCCCAGGCTGGTGGCAGGGAGTGGAAGGTTCACTTTCATTACCACCAGCACTGTGAACTAATGAGCATTTAACTCCCTGACTATTCACCCAAGCTATTCAGGCATGCAGGATTAAGGTGGGTAGCTTACACGAGACATCGTTTTTAGGGATTTTGTGAATTGTTAATATCAAAATGTGTTCTGTGAGTCTCTCTACCAGAGAACATTTCTCATTGGTGTACTCCAGGGAGGAGGAAGTCGGCCAGGCTGGCCCCATGCTCTTCCCACAACTCGCTTTGGGCAACTTTGTTTAGCCTCACTTGGGAGCTCTCAATTCAAGTCTCAGGTGGGGACATGTTGAAATGGGCATGATTCAATACGCGAAAGTGAAATGGAGTTAAAACATAATTCTGGGAAATGAAGGTGTGTTCCCTGTGCCCTCTGCTCCTAACAATTCAAATCCCTGCCTGCTGTCTTTTCCGGGAAATTGTCTGTAGGTCTCCTGTGGATAGACCCATGCATTCTAAGATGTGTCAAAAACTTCAAGTAAGAAGAGAAAGTTCTAGAAGCTAAGACTAGGAACAAAAAAGAAGTCACAAAAAGAGAAAAAATATAAGCAAATGAAAATGGGCTTAAAAGAGGAAGGCGTTCTTTGTTTAAGATGGGAAGAAATAATAAATTGGGTTTCTACTATGAATGCAAATTTGCCGGAGGAGAAAGATCAATTACAGGAGAGAGATTAAGGATTTAAGTGACCATTAATTAACAGTAAATGATGCCCTTTGAAAGCTAATGTGACGTTCACACAAATGACTCACAGTTCAACAATGTTTCCACAGATGCTGATGGAAGCTATCGGCAGGCACAGGAAAGATGCCTAGCCAATCCTACCTCCTTGGATGCTAATAATCAGCTTCCAATAATTTACTTGTACCAATTCTGAACCACAGAATGTGTTAGGGACTGGGTATGAAGTGTTTGGCTGCAAATCGATTTAAGAAGATAAGAATACAAAGGATGGTGTGGTAGGACATGCCTGTAAATCTCAGCATGCCAGAGGCTGAGGCTGAGGAATCACAAATTCGAGGTCAGCATGGGCTACGTATTGAGTTGTAGGTCAACATGGACTAAATGCTGAGGTCCTGTATCAGGAAAAAAAAAAAAAAGTTTTTTGTTTTTTTTCAATTTAGGGTGTGGTTTTGTGTGTGTGTGTGTGTGTGTGTGTGTGTGTGTGTGTGTGTTGTACAAGGATGGCACAATTACTACAGATTTGGTGAGGTTAGAACTGCCCAGGGCCATAGCTTGCAAATGAAGAGGCTGGAGCTGAAGCACAGCTGGTCTGCATCAGAGTCCTTCCTCCTCTGCATGTCACTCTACTGACTGGCTACCTAAGAATATTAGTACCAGCAGTGAGCAGCGTAGGAGGGAAACCTGCTCCACTGCCCCATGTGTGTAACTAAGTCAATGCAGTCAGAGTCCTCTTCTGTGTGTGCTTTTGGGCTGATAATATCTTACATTTATGTTGCATCTTAAAATTTCACAATGTGACCTTCATGAATATTCAAATAAAAGTCAACTTAAGGGGCTGAGGATGTGGCTTCACTGGTTGAGTGTTTGGCTAGCATGTACAAAACCTCTAAGTTTGATCCTTAGTGAGCCACATATAAAGAGTGTGGTGGTACATACCTGTAATCTCAGGACCTGAGAAGTAGAGTCAGGGCCAGGAGTTCAAGGCCAGCCTTCACCACATAACGAGTTCAAGCCCAGCCTGGGCTACATGAGACCCTGTCTCAAAAAAAAAAAAAAAAAAAAAAAGGTCTGAATGAGTTGACCTGCCAGGATCTCATAGCTAGTAAAGCTGGAGTTAGACCATTCTCACCTTAGCACATCCCAACACACAGGGAGCAGCTGTGTATTTGGTGATAAAATCAATGTTCTGATCTTTACAAATCACCTCTCTATTAAAAAAAATTCCAAAGGACAGATTTTTCTGCCATGGATGTCTTCAATATGATTCATGAGAAAGCAATGGTTATTAGACTTTATTAAAATGCTGTTCCTTCTACACTAAAGACAGAAATCAAACACAAATACAAAACATCGGTGAGAGATGCTGTGAAGACAAATTTTGTGTTTTCTTGTCTTCGTTCTTTCCCTTAGCTTCATGTTGACAGTCATTTTCTACAAAGAAATCCATTTGGCATTAATGAAATTTCCTCTATTTTATTCTTACAATTAGGATATGCTTTTATGCTTTAAGTTAAACACCCAGAATTTTTATTGTTTAATGAGAAGTAGCTATTTTTCTTCTCTACCAAACAAAAGAAATCATTTCCAGTTTTTTCTTCCTTTTTAAATGTCTAGCTTTGTAGCTACCAAATTCCTGACTTATCTCTATAACCGACTCATTCTAGCTTCAGTTATATTTTAAAATTTGAGAGTTCAGATACAAGCTCTAGCAGAACCCTCAAAGAAAGTAGGGTGCTTGGTGGGGGGCAAAAACAGAAAGAAAGTAAGGTGTTCGGAAATACCAACATAGATAGAAAGTGTCTCCATTTCTCTTTTTTTTTTTTTTTTTTTGAAGCAGAAAAAGACATTTTGACAGGTTGAAGCATGGGGTTTAAGAGAAAGAAAGACAACACAGGGAAAGAGTGCTGTATATCCAAGTGTTGGTATGGGCTTCTCAAAAGAGAGGTGCCCATAAATTCTTCATTTATGCACATTTACAAAAAACTCAATTGTAAGCCTGAGCATGGTGGCACACACCTTTAATCCCAGCACTTAGAGGCAGAGGTAGGTGGATCTATGGTCTACATAGTAAGTTCCAGGCCAGTCGGGGCTACTTAGTGAGACCCTGTCTCAAAAAAATGAACAAGCAAAAAAATTCAATTGTTTTCCAACTAAAATATTTCAGTTCAGTGGAGTTAATGGCACTGTGAAAGTATTATTCCATAAGTTTAAATATATTTTAATTTTTAAAGTATTTTAATAAAAACTCTATACGCAAACCTTGCATGATTTTCTACCTTCATTTAGAGACACATTCACCACCCATATAGCTTTTGTAAAGCTGGAGGTAAAGTCTGTGATACCAAATACAAGAATTTTTGGCTGTGACAAATCCACGGAACTTTCGTTTGAACTAAAGGTTATAATGAAGCTAGTGCTCCTTTGGGTAGTAAAAACACATTATCTATACGAATCTGATAGAGAATGCCCCTGATTTGATGTAAATTGCTGCAGAGAGCTAGATTTCTATAGAAGCAAAGATTTAAGAAGCAATCATAGTATGTTGGAATGCATTTTCACCTATGTAAAAAGCCCAGTGGGTAAAACTATACATATGTGTGTGATTGTAGAGGGAACATGAGAAACAAATCCCTGGTCTCAGTGTAGCTTCCTAGGACTAGCACTCTACAGATTATGAATAAAAATGAATACGTGAAGAGTTCACAGCACAGTGCATAAACAGACCACCTCCACCTTTACAAGCTAATACTAAGGGCCTAGCACAATCATGAATAGGACTTACCTATGGCAGCCAGCAGGAGGCAGGACCACAGAAGCCTCATAGCTCTTGTTCTGGGGCAGGTACCAGAAAAGAGAAATGTAAGGTTGCCTGCCAAATGGACTGCCGCTCAATTTTCCACCACCGAGTTCCTCTCCACTCCCTTCTCTGTTTGCAAGCCTTGGGTAGCCTTACTGGTACTATTTTGTAAACATTCGATTGGATAAAGGCATATGGGCATCACACAGAGGTTTGAGGATTGATGCCATCATGACCCCCACCAACTCCTCCATTTGGTTCTGTCCTAGGACGATGGCCAACAGTTCCATCTCTTCCACAGGAGACAGCTAAGTAAATAATGCAATATAAGAGGAGGCCCGGAGGAGAGGAAATTCCACACTAATATAATTTCCTTTACAGCCTTTACCTAAGGCAATGCTCTTGCTGACATTCAGGACACTAATTTCATTAATAATTGAGATCCAAATAGCTGTCTTAAATCAGACTTATGTGGTAACGTCTTCAGCATTTGAGAATAGTTATTGGAAACCTGGTATTGTCTAATGAAGATCAACTGCAAACAAAACGATGGGCAGAGTACTTTCTGTTTCTCCTAGGCCCCTTTAATTAAGAGAAACATTGATTTTTGATAAATAGGAATGTTTTTTAAATTTTCACAGAGCACAGTTCAGAAAATAACTACCCAAGAGGAGTTGCTTCTAGACTTATTGATGAGAACTATTAATGTTTAACATTATTCAATAAAAGATTTTCAATGTCTCTTTTATAAAAATTATTTATTTGGGGGGTGGGGACTGGCAGGGGCACATGCTCATGCCACAGCTGGTTTGTGGAGGTCAGAGGTCAACATTTAGGAGTTGTTTCTCTCTTTCTACTATGTGGTCCTAGGAATTGAACTCGGGTTGTCAGGCTTGGCAGGGCAACTGCCTTTACCCACTGAGCCACCGCAATGGCCCCCAATATAAGATTTTTTTCCTTTTTATTACTTCTTGCTCACTTTTCACTGCATTCATTCATTTGTTGTGTCATCTCCCCCCAAAACCCTTTGGTTTTTTTTGAGATGGGGTCTTATGTAGGCTAACATGGCCTCAAACTCAGAATAGGTCAAGAATGACACTGAACTCCTGATCTTTCTGTGTCTACTTCCCAAGTACTAGAACTACCCGCATGCACCACCATACCCAAAACACTCCATGCTCTTCATTACTAAGGTTAAGGCTAAATAATTCTAAACTATAAATTTGTTTTTCATTGATAGATTCCTAGATGCTCTAGGAACAGAAACCAAATTTCCTGCTGTTTCCAACTTCTGCTTGCTTTTTATTATAAGTGGAATTCTAAAGGTATAAATTTGAGGTAAATTTTTACACAGCCAAATGAGATGTGGAAGAGGTAAATATTGAATTCCTGAACATCAAATAAACTAATCTCTGCACTTGGGAGGTAGAAACAGAAGGATCCAGAGTTTACTGTCATTTGGGGCTATATAGTGAGCTCAAGGCTATCCTAGGCTACATGAGATACCATTTTTAAAAAAAAGGAAGGGAGGGAGGGAGGGAGGAAGGAAGGAAGGAAGGAAGGAAGGAAGGAAGGAAGGAAGGAAGATTAGATTATGTAGATTAGATGGTACAATGTGTTCCTTTTGATTTTCTGATTTGAGTGTGCTGAGATTATGTAAAAGAATGTCCTTGAAGGCTGGGGAGATGGCTCAGTAAATAAGAGCACTCACTGAACAAACATGAGGACCCAAGTTCAAATGCCCCCCAACACCCATATATAAAGCCTGGTGTAGACACATGCTCACCTGTAACCCCATCACTGAGGAAGGCAGAGACAAGAGGATTGCCAGGGCCTACTGCTACCAGCCCAGCACCAGGTTTGGTGAGAGACCCTGTCTCAAGTCATGGCCAAGCAGGAGCCCTCTGACTTCTGTGAAGCTGCACACACAGTGTGCATATACTACACCACACACACACACACACATTTTCACTCAGATAAATAAGTAAATAAAAATAAAAACAAGTCCTTGTTGGGGCTATCGTGGCAGCTCACACCTGTAATCCCAGAACCCTGGAGGAGGAAGCAGAGGGATCAGGAGTTCAAGGCCAGTGTTGCCTTGGCTACATAACGAGTTTCTGACTAGCCTGAATTATATGAGCCCCTTCCTCAAAAATAAAGTGAAGCAAGCAAATACTTCCTGCTCCATTAAAAAAGAAAGCTATCCTTGGTATAATAACCCTACAGTAACTATTCAAAGGTATAGGCAACTTGCTCTCAGAATTATATGGGTAAAGATAAGAGGGTAAGTTCTTTCTATTGTCCTTCCAATTTTGCTGTCCATGTGAAAATATTTCAGAAGAAAAAGAAATTTAAATGTAACCTGATGGAGGGAATATGATACAAATCTACGGGAATTTTTTTGTTTGGTTGGTTGATTTGGTTTTTTAAAAAATACTTTTGTTGGTTCTTTGAGAATTTTATACAGTATATTTTGATCATATTCATCCCCCTCCCCCATCTCCTCTTAGATCTATCCCCACCTCCCTATTGTGTCCTCTATTTTTTTTTGAAGCATGATAATTTCAATCTCTGTTCCCCAAAACTCTTGGGTGTGGGTCCACCCCTTGGAACTTGGTCAACCTAGCCAGGGTCATATCCTTAAAGAAAACCAACTCTCCTTCTCCCAGCAACCATCAGTTACCAACTTCCTCAGCTAGGGCTGGGGCTTCATGCCCACCTCCCATCTCCATGATGGGATTTTTGTCTGATTTAGGCTTGTGCAGGTCTTATGCATGCTGTCACAGCCACTGTGAGTTCACATGTGCAACTTCCCTGGTATATCTGGAAAACGCTGTTTTGCTGTAGTCCTCCACCGCTTCTGGCTTTTATAATCTTTCATCCCCCTCTTCTATGATAATCCTTGAGCTTTGGGTTGAGGAGTGATACAGATGTTCCATTTGGGTCTGAGCACTCTGAAATCTCTTATTCTCTGCACATTGACCAGTTGTGGGTCTCTGTGTTAATCATCATCTACTGCAAAAAGAAGCTTCCCTGAGGAGAGCTGAGAGTTGCACTAATCTCTGGGTATGACAATAAGTCATTAGGAGTCAGTTCAATACTATGTCCATTTCACAGAATAATAGCATGATCTCTCCTAGCGCCTATCTCCAGTCTAGCTTCAGGTTTTTGACCCTGATAACAGTTCCATCTAATGGAACGGGCCTTAAATCCAACCAGAAAGTGTTTAGTTGTTCCCATAATATTCATGCCACTGTTACGGTAGTGGGGATATCTTGCCAAGGCCAGCTGTTATTGTAGCTCACAGTAAGTAAGTAAGAAAGTAAGATTGATGATTTTTTTTCACATCTGGTAGCATGCATAACACCTTCCAGCACTATGAAAGCTAGCCAGGAGAGATGAAACTTCCAGGTCAGTACTAGCTTGATTTCGCCATGATTCAAATAAAGTAGTGTCTTCAGCAATGGGGTCCTACTGTCAAGTTCTCAAGGGAAATCAAAAGTAATGACAATAACTAGTAATGGCTGAGGGTCTATGGGACACCCCTGGCCAATAACTCCAAGAGTTGCATTCCTGGTGTCTGGTAGGAGCACTGTTCCCCCATTATAGGGTAACTCCATTTAAAACTGTTTTTTAATGTACATGTATATATTTTAGGAAGTTTCTACAGTAATAAGTTTCCATATAACTTTTGCAAAAAGCCTTTAGTGTAGGTTATTTTTGTTTTGCTTTTTGAAAACTACCTATTTAGACAGTAACATTTCAAGCGACGAGTTCACCAAGGATTGAATTAGCTCCCAAAGTTCTAGCACCTTCCATCAGTTCTGTGAGTCCTCTGCTTCTGCCTCAGAAAAGCTAGGACAAGAGTGAACACAGCTACATTGGTGGTGCTTTGGGGGGGGGGAGTGTGGAAACCTCCCTTTGCAAAGGTTTGAATTGAACTGGTAACCAACATGTAATTGTTACCACATCCTAGTGAGCCAGGACTCTAAGTCAGACCTTCTGGGACACCCTCCCTTTTCTTTGCACTCTCTCACATTCCCAACTGTTACTGCAAGGCCATTGCTAATGATGTGTAATACAGGTACATTACAACCTCCATTAGCTAGTTTAACAACAGTTCGGTGGTGTGCCCATAATGGCTCTTGGATGCTGAATCCTGTCAGGACAGGAAAGGTTTTGTGTGAGTGCCCTGTCTTCAGTTACACACTGGCTCAGGTCTCTTCTCTGTGTTCCTGTCCTACCAGGGTTTAGTTCACTTACTCAATGCTTTTAGATCTGTATTCTCTCTCACCCCAACCTTTAATTTTTAATGAACATCGTCTCCTCTCACTGTCCTTAAACCCCAACCAGAGAGCTTTTTACTCCCATTGTGTCTGGTCATTCCCCTCACACCACTTATAAACAGTGAGTGTGGGGTTGAACTGTACTGAGACCTTTGAAGCAGGTCAGTATTTTAAGATGAAAACTTAAGAGTCATGAGGGGCTAGGCATGTGTGTGTGTACATGTGTCTGCAGGTATGTGAGCACGTGTGTAGAGGCCAGAAGACAACCTTGAGGTGTAGCTCCTTAGGTGCTTTGTTTTTTTAAAGACAGGGTCTTAGGCCAGGCGTGTTGGTACATGCCTTTAATCCCAGCACTTGGGAGGCAGAGGTAGGTGGATCTCTGTGAGTTCGAGGCCAGCCTGGTCTACATAACGAATTCCAGGTCAGCTGGGGCTACAGGGAGACCCTGTCTCAAAAAGACCAAAAAAAAAAAAAAAAAAAAAAAAAAAAAAAAAAGACAGGGTCTTTCACTGGTAGGAACTCCAAACTTCAGCCAGGTTGGCTAGCCAGCCATTTAGTGCCTAGGATCCATCTGTCTCTGCCTCCTCAGCCCAGTCTGGTCCCAAACTCACCATGTAGTCCAAGCTGTCCTTGAACTCATGAACATCCTGCTGAGGTCTCCAGAGTACTGGTATTACAGGCCCAATCCACCATGTTCTTCTCAGGGTCCTCAAGTAATAACATCTGGGCAAAGTAAAGAAAGATCTCATATGAGGTTGGATTCCACCATTCTCTGACTGTAACTCGGGCCCAGCCCATCATTTAGAGACCACCTAGAAGAATATTCTTGTAGAAGTCCCTCTCCACAGCCCCAGGAGACCCTGCATCATGCTCCTCCATTATTTCCAAGTAAGATATGGCACCTCTTAGATCGACCAATGTCTTCTGGAAGAAGCAGGGGGAGAAGGCTTATTATGCAGACATAATAAAGAAGTGTTTATTATGCAAACAGCAGCTGAGTTATGTGTCCTTTAAGACTACTAAATAGTTTTTAATTACTGCTATATCAGTAAATCCCATAAATATGCAAATGCAATTAGTTCACAAAATAGGCCTTAAATATCTTTATTCCTCTCCAACAAAGTTCTTTGAAGTTAATCGCTAACTCTTTGTTCAGTCCCTTGGCAGTTGTGCTAAAATTGACAGGAATTTTGACAGATGTACATTTTCAAGGAGAACCAAAGTTTCTGAACACATCTGGTCAGGCCAGAGTTGAAGAGCAGAAATGGACACTCTGGCTGAACGCAAATGTCTAATGAGCACACTCCATATGTAATTTCTTTTTTGTGTTACTTCTTTTTGCTTTTTTGAGACAAGGTCTCATTCTGTAGGCCTTGCACTCATAGTGGTGCTCCTTCCTCACTCTGCCTAGGATTACAGGCATGTGCCACCATGCCTGGCTTCTCATAAGTGATTTATTTATTTAGTTATAACAAGATCTCATGTAGGTCAGGCTAGCCTGACGATGACCTTGAACTGCTGATCTGTCTAACTCCATCTCCCAAATGCTGAGATTACAGGTATCCTCTAACATACTCAGTTTAGGTGCTGCTGGGCACTGAACTCAGGGTTTTGTGTAAGCTAGGTGAGCACTCTACCAACTGAGCTACATCCCCAACCCCCAATTTGTAAGTTTGATTACTCTGTGGCATTGTCTTCTGAAATAAATAGCAACCTAATCACTAAGGCAGCACTTCAAATCTAAATCCATACTCTATGATTATTTTTCCTTTAGGCCAGAACTTGTGTTTAATAATACATGTTTTCTGATCATAAATGCATGAATTAATGCAGCCAGCATGATGGCTTGTGCCTGTAACAGCAGCGCTTGAGAAGCAAGAGGATTGCAAGGAGTTCAAGGTCAGCCTTGGTGTCCTAATTTCATTTCTAGTGCTATGATAAAATATCTTGATCAAAAAGCAGCTTGAGGGAAGGAAGGATTTGTTTGGCTTATAGTTCTAGGTTACAGTCCTCCGTGGCAAGGAAGTCACAGAGGCAGGAGCTTGTGACAGCTAATCCAACCACATCCACAGACACAGCAAAGAGAAACCACTGCCTCCATGCTGCCTGCTTGCTTCTTCTGTCCTATAAGGTTCAAGATCCCCCCTAGGGAATGGCGCCACCCACAATGGGCTAGGTCTTCCCATATCAATTAACCATCAAGATGATCCCTACAGACAAGCCCACAAATCAACCTGACAGGGACAATTATTCAATTGAGACTCTTCCCAAGTGATTCTAAGTTGTGGCAAGTCAGCATTTAAAAATTAACCATCACACCGGGCTGCGTAATGAGTGCAAGGCCATTCTGAGCTACAGTGTGAGATCCTGTTTTATAAAAATTAATTAATTAATTGATTGATTAATGAAGGGAATGTCATCGCCCTGGCCCTCGGAGGTTTGTGCATCTTGGCTCTCTATAGGAAGCCCCAGACCCTGGAATCAGACACACTTCCTTTTGTACCTCAGTTCCATCCCTTGCTACAATGCTCTCCTGACCTTTACTAAACTGCTTGCTGCCTCTAAGCCTTAGTTTTCCTATCTGTAAAAAGAGTTTAATCAGCATAGGGTTAGTTTTCTATGGCTGTGTACCAAATTACCAGGAACTTAGTATGTTAAAACTCAGAAGTCACCAACTAGCTCACAGTTCTGTAGGTCAGAAGTCCAGGCACATTATGGGTGCATTCTCTGCTCAAAGCCCAAATCACAAGGATACACTGGTGCCAGTGTCCAACCCGTCCCAGCTCCATGACATTAGGTTGCTGACTTAAACTTAACCATGATGGGAGAATTTACTATGTAGAGATGAGCAAACACTGTGAGTGTGACTCCCATCTGCTTGTACCTACTAACCACTAATTATGTACGCCCGCTTTCTTGCTTGTGCTCAGCTCTGTTTCTCCACTCTCACACAGTTCAGGACTCCCTGCCTAAGGAATGGTGCCACCCACAGTGGGCTGGAGCTTCCTACATCCACTAACTGAATTAAGACAGTTCCCCACAGGTATGCTCACAGGCCAAGCCAATGTAGATCATCTCTTATAGACTCTCTTCCCTAGGTTGTGTTAAGTTGGCAATTAAAGCTAAGCTGACCACCACACTATGGATACAGTGAAGGTAGAGCACTGTGACCCTGTTCATCTCTGTATCCCCAGCACAGAGCTAGTAAACGTTCATTAAATGTTTTTAGGAAAGGAGGGAGGGAGGGAGGGAGGAACAAATGAACAGAAAAGAATTTTGGCTTGTGCAAAAAAAGGGCACACTCAGAGGGACTCAGCTTTCTCATGCCCAAGATGCTATCCTTTTGCCACCACCTCATAAAACACCAGTGAGAATGGTGGCTGGAATTAGGACAAGGCTGCTGCTGTTTGGGTGACTCCAGTGAGCAAGGTGTGCAAAGGGTAAGCACGAGGCACACCTGCAGGTGGATCTTCCTCTCTTGGATTCTCTGAGCCTGCCCACAGTTCAAGGATCTTGTAAGTCTCGGGGATAAGATAGACTCCCAAAACCAAAGAAGATAGAACACAAAAGGGACTGAGCCAAGCGTGGTGATGCTCATCTTTAATGCTAAATGCTTGGGAAGGTGAGGCAAAAGGACTGCCATGAGTTTGAGGCCAAGCTGGCTACACAGTGAGTTTGAGGCAAACCAGAGCTACATGAAAGGGCCTGTCTCAAAAAGGGAGGAATGGAGGAGTCGGGAGATGGATTAAGTAAAGTGCTTTCTGTACAAGGATGAGGACCTGAGTTCGGTCCTCAGAACCCACATGAAAAGCTGGGCTGGCCGTGCACTCCCACGATCCCAGTACTGGAGAGGCAGAGGGTCTGTGAGGCTTACTGGCTACACAGAAGAACCGAATCAGTGAGTTCTGTGTTTAGTTAGAGGCTGTCTCAAAAAATGAGGAGTGTGGTAGAGGGAGATACCCAATGTTGTCCTCTGGCTCCAGAGTGCACCTGCATACAAATGCACACACACACACACACGTACACACACACACACACACACACACACACACACAAGATGAACATAAAAATTTGCTGTATCTGCATGTGCTCCAAATTCTATCAGCTCCAGTAAACTGATTAGATTACAGTGCCCAGCAGACAGTCTTAATGAGCTGGGCTTTTCAGGCTTTCTGCTCAGATTGCAGACTGTGGAGTCTTTACCACCACCAGGAATCTCTCCTGATCTGTGGCTTACTGTGGGACCCTGAGCTTTCCATTTAGGCTTGTCTAGGAGTTTTCTGTGGCTACAGTAAGATATTCTGGTTGGGTCTTGATTTCTGGCTGTTTCCATCTCTGCCTTGGACTCAAGATGGGACAAGGTCTTTAATCTTTAGAGATTTTCGTTTTTGTTATTTCTAATGGTGTTTTAAAATTGTGTGTGTGTGTGTGTGTGTGTGTGTGTGTGTGTGGTGTTATACATGACAGCACGTGCAGGAGGAGGCTAGAGGAGGATGCCGGGTGTCATGTGTTATCACTCTCACTCTTATTCCCTTAAGATGTGGTCCCTCAGTGAACCTGGAACTCCCTGGTTTTTTGACTACGCTGGCTGGCCAGTAAGCCTCAGTGATCTTCCTGTCTCCCTCCCCACCCCCATCCCACCACTCCCCCTCCATATAGAACTGGGATTACAGGCTGATGTGCCCACAATTGACTTTTGGGTGCTAAAGACCCAAATTCAGGCCCTCATGTTTGTGCAGCAAATGCTCTTACCACTGAGCCATCTCCCCAGCCCTATTTTTTAAGTTTTATATTAGAATATATTAATTAGACATAATAATGAGTTCCATTATGACATTTTCATACATGTGTATAATACATTTTGATCCAACTCACCCCCAACTACCCTACGTTGTCCCCTTCCCACTCTTGCTGATTCCCTTTTGTGAATTATTTTTTCTTCTTTTTAATGCTTATGGGTATTTTGCCTACATGTATGTAAGTGTACCCATGTACAATGCCTGCAGAAGCCAGAAAAAGACATCAGATCTCCTGAAATTGGAGTTAAGAACAGTTGTTAGCCACCATGTGGGTCCCTGGAACCAAACCTTGGTTCTCTGCAAGAGCAGCTCATGCTCTTAACTGCTGAGCCATTTTTCCAGACCCTTTTGTTTTGTTAGACAAGATCTCACTCTGTAGCCCAGATCTAGAATGGCCTGGAATTTACTATGTAATCCAAGCTAGCCTCAAATTCACAGACATTCTCTTGCCTCAGTTGCCTAAGTGCTGGGATCACAGGCATGAGCCACCCATTTTAGAGTCTCATTTATTAATTCATTCATCCTCTCACTATGTAAGGAATTGTGCTAGGTGTCAGAGATACAATAAGAAAGCTCAAGGGACCTGGGGCAGAGGTCACAGGTAAGAAACATTCAGAATACATGAAAAGAATTACAAAAAGACAGACAAACTGGAAAAGGTAGCAGTAGACAAAGGAGCCAGACTTGAGGTGGAGGGAGGGGAGCCTTCTCACAAGTGGCCTTTGGGGCCAGGTGTGGTGGCACATCTGTAATCTCAGCCTTTGGGAGACAGATGCAGGAAGATCACTGCCAGTTTGAGGCCAGTTTAGTCTAAATAGCAAGTTCCAGATCAACTTGGACTACATAGGGAATACAAGGCAACACCCTGTCTATGGCAGGGTAGGGTGGGGAAAGGCTGGGCATGTGGCTCGATTGGTGGAGTGC